TAGACAATAAAAATCCATGTGATTATGCAGTGAAAATTTATCTTCAGATTAGACCTCTTTGGGTGCTACTAAAAGGTCCTACTGAGCCAAGTGTCTTTCTGAAATGAAAGAGTGTTCTTTTAGAAGAAATTGTGAAAACTGAACACACTGAAATGTGTTTCTAGTAGGCAAAGCCAGAAACGAGTATTTTGATTTTATCACATTTGCATCTTTTGCCTTGGAATTTTTTGCTTGCTAAGCTCTGCCTTTGAGAGGTTATCCTTTTCGAGTCTTACAAATCTCCTAGATTAATCTCCTCTTAATAGAGACAAAAGGGAAGCCTTGATATTGGTGCCTCAAAATATTTTTTAAGCTTTCCTATAATATAATGTCACAGATCCTCAGCAGATACAGCTGCATTCATTCAATTGCAGCTCAGCTGGGATAGCCCTGGCCAATCTGAAGATCACTGGATGATTTGTGTGGGCAGTTGGTTCAAGCCCAAGCACTATTTATCCAAAAGCACTCATTTAAAATAAGTCAAATGAGCCACTGTTGCAAAAATGCCTGTTTCTCTCCACTAAATGCAAATAGTAAATGTAAGTGTACGTAGAGCCTGAGATTATGCTTCATATCCTCACTGTGTGATGGAATCGCTTTATAGGCAAGGCCAAGTCACTTCACCTTTCTCTCTTACATATCTAATCTAGAGTGGGGAAGACTTAGTTATTCTTTTTCCTGAAAATGCCTGTAAGATGAAGCCAGTAACAAGAGCTTTGTGTGTAACAAGCCAAAGGTTGCACTCATGTCCTGTCCTGGTGCAGTAGCAGCTGTGGAAAGTAGCCCTACGAGAAAGTGGAAAACCAAGCCTTGCAAGAGCTGCATACATTATTCATGGACTCTGAAGACAGAAGGAGATGCAAATGGCTTTTCTAACTTTGCTTTATGTATGAAACAGGCCATAGGATTCCCCTGACATGATGATCCTCTTTGCATCCCAGCCATCCTCTCTTGGGCTGATATATATGACTCATTTTTCCAGTATCTTCCAGCCAGCCAGTGTTCTCTACTTCCCCCTGTCCCATTTACCAGCCCTTTTGAAAAAACAAGACTTTAGTTTGCAGGGAACCAAAGTTTGATGTTACTTTTTTCCACCTTCCTTCTCTTGGAATATGTTTCTCTCTGCTTTTCAGGCAAATTTATGTTCTTTTCAAGTTTTCCTCCCTCCTCCTCATGAACTGCTAAAGTGTAATACTCACTGACACTGGGTGTTGTAAAGATGAAACCCAGAGGAAATCGAGTTAATGGATTAGACCCATTCAGGAAGGAAAAGCTTATGGAGGCACAGAGATGGCTCTCTAATGTTTGTCTCAAGAAGTCCTCAGGAGGACTCCTCAGAGGAGTTTGGATCCAGGTTTGCTGTTTATAGAGCAGCAATTTGTGAAGACCAGAACAGGAAAGAAAACTCCCAGGTCTGAGTTTGTTTCTGCAGTTAGGTAAGGTGGCAGTTGGGATAAGTGTTTCTGGAGCCTTGAGTGAGCAGTGGGACAGATTTTCTGTAAATGACAGTTATTACTGTAGCACCAAAGTGCCAAATGGGTTAAGGCAGCCAACCATTAGCCAAAGAAGTCTTCTTCTGTTGCTTTGTGCTTTTCTAAAAAATCAATGTAACTTTGCATTCACAGCTGTTCCACTGGAAAACATTGAGACTATCAAGATAGACTCAGAAGAGACATCTTTTTGCCTAAACATGGGTGCACAGTACCTTTTCAGACCCTCTGTCAGCCCCACCTGGTTCTGGCAGAGAGGATACAGATGCTCTAGAGAACCCACACCATTCTGAAGCAGTAGTTTGAGGCCAGGCAGGATACACCATGGCACCAAAAATGGCTCTTGGTGACTGTGTTTAGGCAACTAAATGCAGCCCTGTAATACATCCCTGTAAGATATGCCCTCCCAACAGGTCTCTCTATGCAAGTCACATAAAGAGGCACCTCAAAGTAGGAAGAGTCATCTCATGCTGAAGTAAACATCTCAAAGAGACAGGAGGAACTATAATGTAAAAATCGCTGTTTTTCTCCATCAGTTACTGAAGGAGCTGGTGGTAACCAGCTCAGGGGTAGGTATCTACCTCAGGACTGTCTACAAGACTATTCAGTTTTATTGCAGGCATGAGACCTAAAGCATCCTCTCCAGTGTCTGAAAGATTGCACAGCAAAGGAGAACTTTGGGAAAAAGGTAGAAGGAAAACAGTCTGACAGTAAGCTGTTTGCAAGACCACCTACCTTGTTGACAAGTACATGACTACAGACATTAATGGAAGAGGCAAGGTGACAGCCATTCTGAAATGCAGACCTGAGATTACTGAGTATGTCCTCAGGTGGATTTTAGCATCTGTCTTCAGACCCACAAGCCTGAACACTGCCCATGTGACTAAGGATATGCAGCACATCCAGTGCAGGAAATGGGAAGAAGGTTGGGTGGCTGATGCCCCTGTTCTGCCCTCAGTGTTCCTCTCTGCTAGAAAACATTACAGGAATAACGTCCCTAGCAGGCTTTCCTCTGACACCTAGGCAGCCTGGTAAAAGTAAGCACCGCTGTATCTGCCTTCCTGTTGCTGCTGTGGGCAGTTGTGGTCTCTTATCACCTTAGCTATGCAAGAGTGCTTCAGCTGGTACTGCGGTCCATGCTTGAGTAGCTGAATTGTCTCCCCGAATGTGGCCTCCATTGGGATGCTCAGCTTTGGGTGGTACCCAGCACACTTCAACTGAGGCAATCAGTATTAATGCTCCCAAGGAGATGAGCAAGCCAGCTGTCACCGGGGTTCAGTGCAAGCACACGTGGTAATGTAGGTGAGAAGTATTAGTACATGCTTTATGTATGTCATCATCGTTTTCCTTCTGCGACCCTTGGGTAGGGGAGCTTAGGGGAAGAGGTGGAGAATGAAAAATTGATTTATATAGAATAAGAGTATCTCTAGTGAACTAACTCCCAGACTTTTCAGCTAGAAATTCTCCTTCTGGACTGATGAATCACACTTCTGCAATTTAATTTCCGAGAAGATCAAAATCCCTAATTTTTCTGATGCAGCCTGTGGCAATTTGAATTTCCAGTTCCCTCCTGTCACATCAGACTAGGACTCATGAAACTTGAAATGCTTTCTGCAGTCCAGTTCATCATGTTAATCCCATGTGATTAGTCCTACTTATATTTGGAACTTGCCCATGTCTAAGAGTCTATAATTCCATCTGGCACCTTCCATTACAATTGCAAAAGTGGCAGGTTTTGGATTGGTGCCTTTTTTGCATCCTCGATAGAAAAAACACAAACCGGGCTGTGAGCAGATGAAGAACCTCAAGATTTGGTAGCAGAATTTCAGAGGTAGAAGTTTTCTTTCTATGGGTGAAGGACACTCCCACTCCCCTCAGCTGACTGAACATTTCTCTTTCTGATATTGAGGCATGGTACAGTCATCAGTGTGAGGAGTTGAAGATTCGAGTCAAACCAGTGATATGAAGCTGGTTGTGTCTCTGATAAAGTGAGAACCAGTTAACTTTACGTTCTTAAATATGACAAAGACAATTCTAGCAAGAACAAGTATACAAACTGCACTGTTTTATTTATTTCTTATACTCCCTAAGGCCCTGCTTGGCTAAGAAAATAATTTCAAAAAATGTCACGTTAACTCCTAGAGCAGCATTTTTGTATCTCATGTCATAAGTGTTTAATGTGCGTGATTCCCAACACTGCCAGTCTCCCAGTGCCTATGCAGGTGCTTATTGCACCATTTGTTATAAATAATGTTACAGTGACCGCAGGGAATGATGTGGTGGATGCCAAGATACTGTAATCATTGAAATGTACCACACTGCACAGAAAAAAGAGGAGCTTGCTTGGAGAACACCTTTAAATTGGCAGCTCTGCTACAGCATTCGTAAATAGTTGCAAGTCAATCACAGATTTGTTCCAGTCATAGACTGCAAAATGCCAGGAGCCCTGGGACTCTGGAAACGTGTGTGAGATAAATATCTGCTCACAAGCTTGGGATGTGACCTCAATAGTCCTGAGGTAACAGTTCTGTAGTTCTAACTGTACAGCGTCGACAATTTTGAGACAGATCAGTATGTTGTAAGCTACCCTAATTTTTATCTGCTGAACGCAACCCAAAATTTGCTCCTAGGTGCCAAATCTTTCTGCTGATCACAGTCTAGAAATCAAAATCTCCTTTTCAGATTTATTTTTTCTTTCCTGTTTACACTGAGAGGAAACTTATGTAAGAAACTCGCTAGCAGATGCTACAGCAACAGTAATTAGAGCAAGTATCAATTCTCAGTGGTGAGATTGGAACAGAAATAATAATTACCCAGCTCAGCAGATTAAAAAGGGAAGTGGTAAATCCATCATCTCACCTTTAATGACAGCAAAAAAAACAGGCATTTTTCAGGTATGATTAATTTGCTCTGCTTTAAATGCCTCCTGCGGAGTGCAATGCGTGGCCTCTGCCCAACACAAAGGGAGCCCAGTGTGAGTAGCTGGCGTTCAGATCTCTGCAATGCGGTCTTGTACTTTGGGTCCGGGGAGCCGTACCTCACCGCTACAGCCTGCTGTGCCGTGGGAGGGGGGGTTCAAACACCGTCTGTATCGACACAGGGCAGAGCTGCCAAGTACTTTACGCGGGGAGTCTTGCGGGAGCTGAGCCAGAGCCGAACAAGTCCCATCCTTAGTTCCTTGTGGCACCCAGGAAAGGAGTAAAAGGGAGTAAAAATAGTTCCTTGCTGGGACCATTACATTTGTACTCTATTTCATTGCTGTTTTCAAAACATCACTAGTTTTTGGATATTTGCTGCATAAGCTGATATTTCTAGTAAACTTCTGAGTCTGTTGCGATCAATGGTAGAACAAAAAGGATGCTTTCAATCAGGTTGGAGCTGCAAAATGTGCCTTTTAAGGCGTATCACATCCTTTAAGCCACTGTTTGACTCGCTGGTCTTATTTTTTCCTCTCTCTTCCTTCTTTTGCAGATAAATTTTGTATTTCTATTTAACATAGTTAGGATTTTAATGACAAAGCTGAGAGCTTCAACCACTTCAGAAACAATACAGTACAGGTAAGTCAGCGGGTGCTTCTTGCTGTTTGTGGTTTTAACAAAGAACTGCCTTGCCTGCCCTGTCCTTGTCCCATCTTTGTCTTTCCAGATGCCACGGCTGATCTCACAGAGTGTCTTGCTTCCCCCTTGAGCTCATATTAGGCACACAGCATTTATTCTTGCAGGCTACCCATAAAAGCATGCCTGCATTTTTTCTGTCCGCTCCATTTGAATGTCAGAACACTGCAAACAGCCTAGGCTTGCAGGCACAGAGACGCTGGCCCTGCCCCAGCCACCAGCCCCTTTACCTCCTTCAGGCTTGCACATGCCCCAACACACACGTGAAATTTTCCCTTTCCAATGAAATCTGAAGGGTTCGACTTCAACTGAAATAGAAACTTTATCAATTTCTGTGTGTACACAAGCGTATGTATTGTATTATGTAAATATGTAATAACTCCTTTCACTGATGACTAGATCGTTCATTCAGCTAATCTGGACAATCAGTGAAAAAGTGTTCAGTCTTTGCTAGGTTGTGTCTCTGTCCCAGTCTCTAGCTTTGTAGGTGCAGAACAAGACCATATCAAGACTTCCCAATAAATCACATGCGTATGTATATTAAGATCCTTGTTCATACTAAGTGTCTCTGTCCCAGTCTCTAGCTTTGTAGATGCAGAACAAGACGATATCAAGAATTCCCAGTAAATCATGTGCATATGTATATTAAGATCCTTGTTCATACTAGTATCCTAGCAGAGCCAGAAGTAAAAGAAAAACAGAACCAGGACCAAAATATTCATATCATATCTGTAATCAATAGCAGTATCATTACCAATGATTACGGTGTACATACAGGTATTTACAGTAGGGTTTAATGTTCCTTTTGAAGTGTAGGGTGTGGGAGTGAAGGGCAGTTGTGCCCTCTCCCTTCAGCTGGTACCAGCATTGGGGTAACCATTCAGTGGGTTGCATCACAGAGCTGATCCTTCACTAATCCTTACCTTTATATGGGGTGGCTTCTCAGGTGGATCAGTTCCCCGAGCCAGCTGACTGTGCAACCTCACAATCCCTAGTATGGCAGAAAGGAGAAGAGAGGAATTTTCACCCAGGACAGCAGAAGGAAGGTGGCCTGGCCCCTTCCGGCAGCAGTGTGGGCTTACATCAGCCTAAACAGTCCAAAAGCAAATTCTTAAGAGGTCAGGAGATGCTGAGTGCCCTTCCTCTCCTACTGCTTGCAGTATCTTGCAAGATGTTTCGAGCATTTATGGACAGACAGGTCCTCACACTGGGAAATGGCACAGGTTTTATGGAGTAAGATCGGTCACAATCCTATAAATCATTTCTAGATAAAATCTGAGTGTGTCGAGATGAGGCTTGAATCCTGATGTCCTCAAATCAGCCTGCTTTTGACTTTGGTGGCAGTTTTGTTGCAGTAAGGGGATTTTGGTTTTTTGCCTGATTCCTTCCTTTTACTTCTGTCTGAAGTTTGGGGACAAATGTGAAGTTAATGCAGCGATCTGATTTTCCTGTTCAGACTCTTCTCTGCACATTTCCTGAGAAATAAAGGGGGAAAATGCCGCTTTTTCATGCTCAGATCTCATGCCATAAAACTAAAACTGGCATGAAAAAGCCCGGATTCAAATCTCGGTACATTTTTACCCCTTCTGCAGTTTGCAGGGGTCATTAGAGACATTAGATTCTGAGGCCGTCTAAAGTAACTGCCTTCATCCTTGAACAGATGAAGGTGATCTTATCCTCACTACAGGCTCTGTGAGGGGGTCTTCTTTTTCACAGACTAAGCAGAAACCCTTTTAAGTCCAAAAAAACCTGGAGCAAGCCTTGCTACTCTGAAGCCGAGTTGTCCAGACATTTGTTAAGCAGCTATTAAATGATGTGGCAACTACTCTGTTAAGACTCTCACTCTATCCTGACTCTGGCAATGTTTCTGTGTTCCCCTGCCTGCCTACCTACCAGTCTTTATCTACCTGTTACAGCATCATACAAAGATTTATACAGACTTAGCAAAATTGCAGTCTGCTGTGTTTGTACAGTGTCTAGCACGATGAGGTGCTGTTCAGCCACTGACCTCCCAAGACACTATTATAGCACCAATAATAAAGATTAGCCCCAAATAATTCTGTTAATGATCATTTACGCTTCATTGTGCACCATGTGCCGGTTTATTATTTGTAAGACAGCCATAAGCAGTTGTGCAGGTGTTGCTCAGAGAGAGAGAGAAAGAGAGAGAGAGAGAGAGAGAGAGAGAGAGAGAGAGAGAGAGAGAGAGAGAGAGAGAGAGAGAGAGAGAGAGAGAGAGAGAGAGAGAGAGAGAGAGAGAGAGAGAGAGAGAGAGAGAGAGAGAGATTATATTACCCTGAGGTGTAAGAAATCACTCACCGAGCTTGCAGAGCACCTCGAGGCTTCAACCTAATGCAAGCCTCACTGATAGGACACAAACTGTCTGGAGGAAAGCGAGAGAAAGGGAGAGATGTAAAAATGGTTCTCATTTGTGCCCTGGAGTTCAGAGTGTGGAGACAAACAGCGGGATTCAAAGGCAAAGGCTTTCCAAGAACACCTTTCTCCAAATGGTCAGGCCCTGGGCGGAAAGTGTTAGCTAGCAAACTCACCTGGGGCTTCACAG